TGAGGATCCCAAATATATTAGTGGAGAGGAAATTCTTTGTTGCATATCAGGGAGTGCGAGAGTGCAATGAACAGGGCCCCTTCATGGCAAGCTGTTCTTTTAGGTCCAAGCAAAGTGGCGTCCAGACGGCCACACACATGGATTGGAGCCAAACACATTGGCGCGTGTCATGATGAGTTACCACTGCCCTGCTGGCAGAAATCACAACCTTGCAAACTGAGGTGCGAAAGGAGTGCGCCATGGCATTTCAACATGTTCTAGGGGCCTTGCATTTGTTTCTCCAAGCCTTGCCAGCACAAACACTACCCTCAAGCCTTCACAACTTTGAGTGGATCCAAAGCTACGGGCAGAGGTGCTTACTTCTCAGTGTTGCAGATGAGAGGACATTCAAAGATGGAACAGCTGTTTGTGGACTAGATACCATAATGGGATACACCGTATGGGGGGAAGAAAAATCATCCCTCAATCAATTTCATTGAAATCATGTGTCTCAAATCTATGTTCGATGCATTCTATGCGACTGGTGCCAGACTGGTGCCAGACTGGTGCCAGACTGGCACTGCCAGTGTGTTGTGAGTGAGATGCAGAGGAAAATGCAATGGCGTACCAATCCTTAGGAAAATGTTGCATATCCTAGATATGGAATAGGATATGAAGGGGCCCCATTTCCGGGGTATTGGAAATGATATGGGGGCCACATCCTGGGATGTGATGAGGATATGGCCGTATTGTAGGATATGGCACCCATGTCCTGGGATATGGCCAGATCCAGGATATGTGTACCCAGAATATGCAACTTTCTTCTCATGATAATGAGGGCTGCCATGGTATAAAAAAATCCAAAATTCTGTCCAACTTACGCCCCAGGATTGGAATCGGCATTTTTCATAACTTTTCTAGCAATACGTGGATTTCTCCATGCACCTTTAGGCGCATTTCTGTTTCCATCGGACTATGGCCAACCAGCCGCACACTAATTCCAACTGCCAGAATGCAAGCTGTAGTTTTGCGCTCCATCGGACCAACTGGGTACAACCATGTGGTCAGAAGAATCTGACCTGGCCGTGAGTAAAGTTCCAAATTTTCTTGGTGGTCGCACACTTTCTGGGAGTTTCTTTTCAGATTTTTAGAAGCTTCTTCGCGATCATGCGCTTCTATTCCTTTTGGTAGTCCATGCTTCATATTGAATTGATCCGAACAGGTTGCTTATCATTTCAACTTGCAGGGTTGTTCAGTTTTCACTAGTGAAAACCAGGCCAGATGGCATAGTCCCGACACGGTCTGCTCAATATCCAACGGTGCACTTCCGGCAAATGTGGTCCCAAGACCACACAGTTAGTACACACATTGACACAATTTCAACCGTGTAACCTGGGAAACCGTGTAGTCTACACAGTTGTTTGAGGGTACACGGTCGAAACAGTGTCAATGTGTGCACTAACTGTGTGGCCTTGGGACCACATTTCCGAGAGTACACAGTTGGGTTTTGAGCAGACCGTGTCAGGGCTGTGTCACCTGGCCTGCTTTTTCCTATTGTTTTGTCATGCTATCTATTAGGTTAGCAACTCTGACCTGAGGGTCAGATTCTGGCTCAGTCTCTCCATCCATGTGACTTTTTCCAACCCCAAGTTCCTGCCGCTTGGCAATGTTCCGTCCACAGCTCCGGCCGGCAGTCTACCGGGGCCCGGTTCGCTGCCAGCCGGCGACGACCCATGTCCCGGTAGGCTGCCGGCCGGCAGTGCGCCGGGCCCGGTATGACCCCGGGAGGCCGTGTACCGAGTCCCGGCTAACTGCAAGCCTGCACCCCACTCCTGCGACGAGCGGCACTCGCTGGTGTTGTCGGCTGCCTCGGCGGTCGGGGCTCCCGAGACGGTGGAGGCGGCGGCGGCGGTCATAGCGGCGGGCCCCACCCACTAGCGTCCCTGGCAGTGGAGGTGGCAGTGGCGAAGGAGGAGTCGGCGGATCCGCCTCCGGAGGCGGTGGGCCCCATGGCCCCCCTGGCGGCCATGGCGGTCGAGGCGGGGGAGGCGGCCGAGGCGCCCCAGGCGGCTGAGGCGGCGGCGGCGATCCCGGCAGTAGGTCTCAAGGCACTTCCTGGCGATCCAGGCGCCCCTGCCACAGGGCCGGGAGCACCGGCAACACCAGTGGCCGATCAGATCCGGTGGACAAGGGCCGCCTTGCGGAGGATATGCGATTTCTTTCGCCGCACCCAGTCTGTGCTTGGGTGGTTGCTGTACACCTTTGCTACCACTGCGATATCCAAGGGAGCGGTGTCCTGTTGGCGCGCTCAACGTCGACTAAGGAGTCGCAATGCGCCCCAAGAATCGCCTGCATTTTCCAGGGCTGGCTGGCCCAGCGCTGCTCGATGCACCACCCAAAATTTTAGACGCCATTCTGTGCTTCAGGCGGACCGAATTCGAGGTGTTTGAGCATAACGTCACTGTCAGTGAGCACACGGCTGCTGCCCAAGCTGGGCGCCTGCTGGAAGTCTTCGGGGCGGGCGTGTCACATACCATCCTGCCTTTCGAGGAGATCAAGATGGAGAAGGGCCGCGATCGCAAGTGCAGGTGCGAGTGTTGTGCGGACATGTAGCTGGCGAAACGAATGCGGAATGCTCTGTTCGATATGCAGCTCCGCCATGTGGAGCACGGATGGTCGACGAAGCTGTAAAGGGGTTGGGTCAAGCGTGGGTTTTGGCGACCTCGTAACCACTACCGCCTGTTTTGAGGTCGCCATCTCACGACTGCCCTAGTCGAGGCTATCTTCTCGAGTCCGAATGCCACTTCCGCCTTGATCGTGCCCAGGGACGCGGGGCTCCAGTCAAGTGGGCGAGTTCTAGCCGTATGTCTTCAGCCGCCCCGTCACGAATCGAGAGGTGGCTGCACTTTTCTGTGTTGTCACAAGTTGCGGTTTTCTGCCAAAGCGTCACTGATCCCAGTTTTTGGTGAATTACCCAACCCAGGGTTTTGCGGCCTTGCATGGTTTTGCCTAGAGATCGGGTTTTCTGCATGCGAATTTTGGAACTTAAGGCCTCCAGCTGTCGTCTTGCGTCCCATAACGGTTGCAATTCACCGTCCCTATGTGAATTTGGTCGTTGTCTACTGACAGAAGTCTCTGCTGCTGGTCACTCGTACGAGCCCCGATATGTTCAGAAGACCTTGGCTTCCATTGTACCCATCGATGCAGACCACTGCCACGGAGGCGGAGATGTGCAGGCTTTGGAAAGATTTGTGTGTACAAGAAGAAGAGAAACAGTTCATTCAAAGGGACCCCCTCCTAGGCAAGTGTGTGCGGATGAGCACACAACACAAGCAACTCACAGGCAAGAAAACATGGACTCAGGGGCGGTGTGGTTTTTGGGCGTTCGGGTTGTTAGGGCCATACTGTACCCGGCACAAACAATGCACTCGGAGACGGAGACGGATCAGGATCTGGGCGTTTGGGCGTTGCGGTTTAGGGTATGTAATATAGGGTGCCCATCTCCTTATCAGTTGCCCGTATCGCAACACCCTCAGAGTGGCTGTCATTATGGGGCGACGCAAAACGATGGTCACCAGGGGCCATTCCGAGCCATTTGTGGTCATTCAATTGGGTGTCCCTGAGACCAACGAGCCCAGGCCCGGTTTGGTTGAGATTCGGCCGCAGCCCGGGCGGGGAACCGCCCAACTGGCCGCAGGCTTTCCCCCCCGATCAGGTGGCAACTCGTTTTCTCGGGGCAGGGTTGGCGACTCCGCGCCATCCCGGCAAAACGCTCGGCAAAGCTCCTGGCGATGTTGCCGGTAGCCCTCAAACAATGCGAGCAACTGTCGCGCGAAATTTGGCCACGTTAAGTGTGTTCCGCGATCCAGAGCCGCACAGGTCAGGGCCAGTGTCGAGAAATGAAGACAGTGGTGCGATCGAGCCTCCCATCTGTGCACATTAATGAACCACCTGTGTTAATACATTTGTACACCTCGTGCTTTTGCGCGTGTTGGTGCCTTCGTTTGTGGTGTATGTGTGCTCTGCGCTCCCCGGAGCAACCGCGATCGTGAGAGACAGAGTCGAAGGCCGGACGGCTGACTGCATGGCACACGGACTCGGTCCGGGAGGTGAGCTGAAGCCGGAGGCGGGAAAGCAATGCTTGACAAATGCTGAATTGGGTGAAAATTGTCACTGGACGGATCAGATCATGGATCACTCGGCACAATGGAGAATCTGTCAATAAAAGATGGCTAACATTCAAGTGGATGGACGTTTAGGATAATAGAGAGAGAGAAAATGAGGGCGGGGAGAAAAGAATAAGGAGGAGGGAGTAGGCCAGGCTGGAGGGAGAATCGATAGGTGGGGAAATTGAGGGGAGGTGGTTCAGAAGGAATGCGAAGAGCATGCAGGAGTAGAGGGTGTGTTGGCGCAGGTGCGCTCCGTAGGTGAAGCAGCCTGTTCGAGGTATGCAGCCAATTCAATTGACTGCATTTGTCAATGCATGAGAGAGCACTGCTGCTGCAGCTGCAAGACGACTGTTTCAATAGTCAATCTAATATTTTGGCAACCATTGGGATCCATAAATGTGGAGGACACCCTTGCTAGAGATCAGCATCAGGCAACCCGTTCTGGGGCCATAAAGCTCAACACGCCCCGTACTCGTCTTGCATCTTGAAAAGAATTCCTGGAGTGAATGAGTGTGTTACAAAGCGCACACACGCTGTTCTTTTCTTCCCGTGGTACCTTACAACTTGAAGAAGTTTCCTGCTGAAAGGGATCTTGCACTGTTGGTTGTGCATCCAAAACTACCCAACACGGTGGAAAAGTGCACAAATGCAAAGCAGTAGAGTTCGCAACACACCAGACCACCCAGCAAAGCACCAGAGCACAAAGCAGATTGAGCAACACGTAGCCCACCTTACCATATGATTGGCCTATGGCACTGTTCACCAATACAGAACGATAGCCAGTTGCAAAGCTCAGCAGCCCTGGACAGGTACGAACCACAGATGTGTTCTGTGCTGTACACCTGCTGTGTGCTACAAATGAGATTCCAGCTCGCTCAGCACTTCGGCCATGGAAGGCCTCACGGCAGGGTCTCGAGAAAGACACCTGGCTATCAGCTGTGCCAACCACTCTGGAAGACTACCATAGTCGAGGGTAGGCATCGCACCCTTCAATTTCTTTGTCATCACTGCATACTGGTTATCGCCGCTGAAGGGTTTTGTGCTCGACACAACCTCACTCATTACCATCCCAAAGCTGTAGACATCACTCTTGAAGCTGTGCCTTCCTCCATCGTAGAGCTCCGCAGCAAAGTACAGCTCTGTGCCAGGCTGCTGCCTGATGGTTTGGGTGGCTCTCCAGCAGTCTGTCTGGCCAGCAGCCGTGCCAAAGTCTGACAGCCTGATTACTGGATGGCCATCTTCACCCTCGAAGACCAGGAAGTTTGTGGACTTCACGTCACGATGGATGACATCCTGGCTGTGCAAGTGTGCTAGCCCCTTGGCTGCCTGTGTGAGGGCATTGAGTTTCTGCGGAAGGCTCGGAGTGACCTTTGAAAGGCACCACTGCTGGAGATCGGTCTTGGCAAGCTCCATGACCATGGATCCGGTGTTGGTCACAGCCAGCACAGGGGTAATGTTTGGATGAGCCATCGAAGCATGGACTGCAGACTCTGAAAGAAATCGTGCACGCTCCTCCAATCCTGTGTCACTATCCTTGCACTTGAGTCTCTTGACAGCCACAGAACTGCCCTTCCATTCAGCTACATGCACAGAGCCAAAGCCACCATGGCCAATCCTATCTCCCACGTCAAGATCTTCTTCTTCGATCACATTGACAGCACTTAGCTGCTGTAGTAGCCGTTCCTTCACAAGCTTCCAATCTTGCATTTGGATATCTGGCCAGGATGTCGACAGGCTATCCAGCCTACAAGAGGCCAAGTCTCCAAGCAGGTAACGGAACTGCAGGTCCAAGTGGTGCTGATCAGACAGGACATCTTCTTCAGGAACGATGTAGTCAATGGCGACTTTGAAGCTGATGTGAGAGGAGCGGAATACTTCCCTTAGCTCACTGCAGATTAGCTCCACAAGGTACTTTGCTTCTTGGGTCGAGTAAAAGGTCTGCAAGTCGAAAGGCTGGGTGTGCTGCTCCAATAGTCGCAGTGCATTCTTCAGTGTCTTTACCAGCTGTCCTTTCCCCCAGCGCTCTTCCCCATCCTCTGAAGTAAGGTCTCCTGTGTTCACCTTCTGATGCACCACATGGATTTGACGCAACAAGAAAGACAAACTGCATCTGTTGTACTTGATTCGTGAACCTTCCTGCCCAGCAGTGTCGATGATGCGTGCAACAAGCTCAGTGAATTCCATCTGCGTGCATGAATGAGAGCCGTACTCATCAGTCTCAACGCACATTACCTTCTATTGTTCTAACTCGATCATGCACCCTGGACCCCCCCCCCCCTTTCTTCCCTCCCTCCTATCCCTCTACAATGTTGAATCAGAGAGTTACAGATCTTCTTTCTTGCTACATCGCAACATTGCAGGTCGATGCATATCTGCTTTTGTACAAGAAATGCCAACTGTGCACTGCAGTGCAGGAGCAATGCACAGGTGTAATGTAGTGCACTGGGATGCACTTACAGACGACCAAAATATGGCCACCTGTGGATACATGACCAGTTGTGCTGTGTGATGCGTCCAATATACGGCTTGGGTGCAGGCGAGGTGTAGTAATCGACGCCGAGTCGTTCAGATGCGATATGCCATGAGACAGATCAGGTACTGAGGGGTAGGCGTGCACAGGTTTGGTTACCACAACAATGGTAAGTGATGAGTGAGGGTGTTGTGAGTATGGTGGGTGGGTGGGACTCAATGAAATGTCATCCAGGTGGGGTCTGGAGACACGAAATTCACAAAAGAAAGAAACATGTTCTAAACACAGGAGTGGGAACTTCAAGGATGGAAAGTGTATGGGAGTATTTTCCTGGCGTGGCATACAGAAGGTCCAACCTCTTAAGTTGTGCTCCTGTGCTATTGACACTGTTGTGCTGCAGATATAATGTCAGGCATTTCACAGCAATATATCGATGATCAGGGCACATTCCCAGCAGCAAACTGGCGTGCTCCCCACACCACAGCGAACATACAAAGTCTCTTTCGATGCACTTCATCCTCACCTGAGTGTTAGCCCCTGGTGATTTATCCAGCCCTTCATGGACGGCTGATCCCACTGTCAACAGCAACGTGCCTGGACTTTCCACCTCCTGAAGCACCCGTGCCACAACATCAGGCTGGCACAGAGCATTTCCTCAAGCTCAAGCAAAATCCCACACATACAAGCACAGTAAAAGTATGGCCCATATTCTATGGAAACAATGAGATTCAACAGCGGGAACTGCCTAGTGCTTCATTGACCTCGACATCAGCACTGGGGTAGCCTCACAGCAACGATGTGCCACATTGGATGTTGTGTGGCAGCAGCACCCAGCTCAGGACATCTATGGGACGGCAATGCCAAAACTGACAGAAAACAAGCCCCAACTCACATTGTATTCCCAGTCCTGTGGGAGGATGTCCAAGTGGTGCAAGACATTCTCCATAGTTGGCCTTGCTGCAGCGTCATTGCGAATGCATCCCTGCATTATGCGCAGCATTTCCTTGGGGCAATCACGATTATGCACTGTGCAGGGCTCCCTCTCATTGAGCTTCTGGGACAGCACACTGAATTCCTCAGTGCTCCTCGCCAGTTCGCCTGGGTCCATGCGAAATGGCCGCACACCTGTCACCACTGCAAACATGATGACGCCAAAGCTGTAGACGTCGGAGGACATGGTGAGTGCCTGACCACGGTACGCCTCAGGAGCCATGTAGTGAAAGGTGCCCCCAGGGGCCCTGATGGTCTTGCTCCTTGTCAGGCTGTCCTCCACGCTGAATCCAAAGTCGGCAATCTTCACAGCACATGAGGAAGGATCGGTTCCAAAGATCAGATAGTTACTCATCTTTATGTCGCAATGAATGATCTTTTTTGAGTGAACATGGCTCAAGGCCCTGGCTGCCTTCTTGAGAATCCCTAGTTTCTGGGACCATGACAGGACATGGCTTCCCATGCAGAACCTGCCCAGGTCACTGTCCGCGAGCTCCATTATGACCCAGCCGCGCCTGGTAGTTGCCAAAACCTTGACGGCAAACTCTTCTTCCAACTTCGCTTGAACCGTGATCTCCCTGAAAAAGCCTGCAAACTCCTCAAACAGACGAAAGTCAGTGCTTCCTTCAACATCACCCTTTGCTCTCTTTACTGCCCTGAGCTCTCCCTGCACCTCAGCTTTGAAGACGTCACTCGAGCGTCCCTTACTGTTGAACTTGTCCAGAAATTTGATATCTTCTGCATCAACAACGTGCAGGTGTTCCAGCCATTCCTCATGATCATCCTTTATGTTTGTCCACACTGGCAACCACTTTTGGACTGCTGACCTTCTGGCAGGATTCCTTCCATCTCCTTGCGGCTTGCTGAAAACAAACTCAAGCATCAGGTACAGGTGCACACGGTCCTGGGTGACGATGTCATCAGGAACGTAATCGTCGATCTCAGGGGCATCTGGAAAATCGCACAGCATGCGCTTGAGGTTAGAGCATATATTTCCCACACCCTTCCTGACCTCTGCAGTCTTGTAAAATGTGCGAATGTCCAAATTCTTGTGCCTCTCAATGAGCCGCTCTCCCTTTTCAATTTCATTTTCCAGCCCTTCGTGCCTTAGTCTCGAACTGTCAAACTGTCGTGCTGCATCCAGTTGGACCTCAAGAAACCGCATCATCTCCTGGTGGTAGCTTGTGTTGGGCACCTTGCATGAAAGCAAGCAAAAGAAAGTCACACAAACCAAAGCTGCAAGTCTGCTATCTTTCCACTCCAAGTTTTAAAGCCACTGTCGATAAAAATGTCAGCGAAATTTTGCCGTTCTTCAGCCGAATCTCCGTCCACTCTACTTGCGCGGGCACATCAAGTTTGATAGCAACATTTGACTAATTGAGAATAGTCGATGTAACCAAATAGTATCATCATTAATATTGCAATTAACAACACACATATATATATATCAAAGTTACATAACACTGAAGCAAAATTAGCACCACGAAAGGCGAGAATACAAAATGAATAAACAGATAAAAAGAATAGTGATAAAAGAGCACATGCTCTTGTTTGAATTGCCTAATTCTCCAAAAGCATTTTCCAAGCACCCAGCCATTTCCACAAGGTCGCCCACGGTGACAATACGAGCACAATTTACACAATACTCATTGCATATTTCATCCAAATTGCTTGTAATCCACACCCCTGATGATCATCTACCATTCCATACTGTTGAAGTATCGATAAATAGAATGTTGCTTTTATCTACTGTTAGTAGAAAAGTAGTTTGGAAGTATATCGGTGGTTAAATACTTTATATAAAACGTCTGCTTAGCAAGACAACCAGCCTCAAACTCTGTGCGCCTTGCACCTTACCTTACTACCCATGTCTGGATTCTCTGAACTTGCAAAGAGTGTGGATACAGCAGGCCCATCTCCAGGTGCATCTCCAGCAGATGTGGCATTCTGCTGCACAACACAGGATGCAATAATGTATGAACAGGCACACGGTACATCTAACATGGCTGCATAAGAACTGTGCGATCACACTTCTGTTGAAGTCACCATTAGCCATGTTGCCCAAATGGGCGACACCTGTCTGACAAATGATGCATAGCTGTGTGACATTATCCTATAGAGGCTCTACGGCTACAGTACCACTGAATCTATAATCGAGCAGTCAGGGCTCTGGCATGGATGGCTGCTAAGACTTGCCAGCTGCTAAGACTGCGGACGGCTCAGACTTGCTGGGAAACAAGCTGAATGACTGCACACATGGAATACAGATAAGGTATTCCTGAACAGCATTATCATGCATTACCAATTAAACTGCATCTGATATAGTATAGGCCTGCAGTATGTGCAATATTACATTGCCTCTGTTGTGAAAAGACTGTGACAGTCACCACCAGAAGTACAGCCACAGCAGTGGTGGAAAGCGATTCTTGTGTAAGGCCAATTCCAGGAGAGCACGGCAGCTCCAATATTGGCAACGACACATGATGGTGTGCACGACACTACAGCGCGTGGTGATATGCTGCAGTAGACAATCACTCATTTCCTAGTTCTCTCGCACGCGTGTGCTTCAATCAAAAATGCAACATCACTGTCTGGCAAATGTGCTTCAAGGACATTTGCCATCGTGTGAATTTCACTCAACTGCCCTCAATTCCCCTGCAATGCCTGTCTTCCATTGTGGATGAGGTCAGGACACTGGCACCGCAAGAACAAAATCTATCGCAAGCCTCAATTCTGTGGTGAGAAGTGAGACATGTTGTCCAGCTTTCATAAGCAAAACAGAAGGTGCTCAGCAACCATGGCATTCCATGCAATCTTTCTACAGAACTGAAGGAGATGCAAACAGGATAGCATCTTCGCCGCAATTCTTCGCTGCTTTCAATTACAGCACCAGAAATAGCAAACACTGCCTTGCATCCATTTGGTGTTGTCATTTCCAGCCCTCCTTGTTTTGCAACAAACTGTGTTGCCAATGACATTTCAGCCATCAATTGAAAGGGACTGTTCCATTGCCGTACTTTGATTCACTCACCTCTTGTGAGTTGGCTGGTATGCAATTGTACTGTGCAACATTCAGCCCTGCAGGGACCAATAGACTATGATCAGAATGTTTTAAGATGAGAATGACCATTTGCCAACCCATCTGGGCTGTTGCAGAAGGGATGGTACTTCTACATCAAGTGGTGCCCGTTACTGACAGTACGGTACTAACCATTGACCAGGGCTCAATTAACACAAGCATCAGCCCCAGACAGCTAACAGTGAAGCCTGGAGCATATGTTTCTGGCACTGCGCATTCACTCCAGCTCTTCTCCAGGAAAGCCACACGCTTTGCCTGGCAAAAGATCTGCCATAATGAATATAGTCAATATTGTTTAGTTGCAGCCAGTCAGAATCTTATGATCTGATAACTGGTGCTACCCAAAGAAAAGTTTAGTTTGGAATGTACCTCAACACAAGAACAAGTCTGTAGCACAGTGCTTTGCGACCAACATGCAGTAGCAATAGTGACAGTGTAGCGTGCACTGTTGAGTATGACTGCAGTCAGAGGCCTTAGCACAGCACTGTTGACATGAAGTCCGACTTTCGCCACCCCTACACTACACTGCACTGCACATGTAACAGTCTTGTAGAGGCATGGTCGTATTTCCAAATCATTAAACAATCGTATGAAACACCAAATTGACTGCTTCTGTCACACACACAATTGCAAGCAATGCGATCTGGGGACAATCATAAACATCAACACATGTTTCCGAATGAAATGCTGGAAGATGTGATGGGACAATGCACTCACTTGTGATTGTCTTGCTGAGGCCATGCACCATGCTCTGAACTGGATTCCTGAACAGAACATCGATTGAGAGAATGTACCTCAACCAGCTCACGCTGTTTGCTTGTTCTGCAAGCTTCACAGCTTCAAGCAGCTGGTCTCTGGCAACAATGACTACTTGCCGCAGCTCCTGTATCTTGTCTCCCTGATCAGAATCAATGGTCCTGTGCATCGTGGATATGATGCTGAGTACAGCCTTCAGCGATTCTGCCTCATCCCCAAGCGATGCACAATTGGATGCAGGTTGGCTTGCAATGGCACGCAGGTGGTCTGCAGCCTGGATGGCCTCTTTCAGCACCCCCATCTCGCCCTGTACTCATACCAAGGAACACTGTCAAACAGCATGTCGCCTCAACATTCTGGCTTATCTTGGGTCTACTTCACCAGTAGAATGACATTTTTGCGATGCCAAGTGCGATGCCCTTTGGCCATAATTGATGCAATCATGCTTAATTTTCTGCCATCTCAGTCACTGTGCACCACTTTTTGTCAAAATGTAAGCACAGTTGGCATCGCAGAAACGATGTTTTTCTGGTAGAGCTTGCTAACAAGCACAGTTGGCAAATATTCTTCCAAGCAAAACAAGAAGCACACTGCTTTCCAGATAGGCTCAGACGCCATGTCCTTGGCACCAAGTCAGCCATCGTAAAGGAGCGAAGACGCCGGGCGCCAAGACGTCGGACGGAGCGAGCGGCCCGCGGGGCTGCGCCCATTCCTATCAACACGTCGTCCTTCCATTCCGACATTCTACAAAGCGTACGGTGTTCAGGCAGGGTTGCTCCGAACGACCTCAACTTGAGAAGCGTCATATTCTTGTGTCCACTAATGGTTTGCGACCACGGACGTGTGCTTGGAAACACTGCACGGTCGAATCCTGAGGCCTGAAGGCGACAACTGGAGCCTACCCCGCGGATTCCAGCTCAGAGAGGCTGGCCACGAATAGAAATCGAACGACGGATATGAGTAATCCCACAAATGGGCAGTGAGCTTGTGGCAATCTCCCTGATCCCCCCGCGGCCTACACCAGGCAAACGAGGAGTCACGCACCCGGAAGAGCAGAAGGCCGCGACTATTGCCCTTGCATGGGGTCAAGGCGCTGCATATGCGTGCAGCGCTTGAAAGAGCACAATGACAAGGATGCCGAGACTGAAAGCAACAACGCATGCGCGACGGCAGAAGGACAGAAGCTGCAGGTCACTGGTTGCCGTTGGGCCGCGAGCTCAAGAGATCCAACCGGCTGCGACAGAATCCACACTCGCAACCGCCCCAGGGTGGTCCGTCCGCACACCACGACATTATTTCCCGATTTCCGCTCGCAATCCACCAACCGGGCTACCAGCCAGTGCCCCGCGGAGATGCACACACAGTTTGGGGCTTGGCAGTGCCGGCGCACGGCCGATCTTCCGTGTCGGGGTGCCCAAAGCGCCGAGTCCAACTCGCAGCAACCTCTCGACAGGCATCTGCCGTCCGAAAGGCGCCACAGCGTCCGCCTGCCGCCCGGCGCCCCGGTTTCAGGACAGTGGGGTGGGGGGCCAGCTGCGTGCTTCGGGCCACACCACGCCTGCCTCGAAAAGGACAACCGAGGAATGGAAGGAGGTCGAGGAAACCGGCCGTGCTGCGCCCGGCTCGATGGATGCCGCGAGGTTGGTGACATCACGTTCCGACACGAAAATGTCGGAACCCCTGAAGATTCCCTCTCTTATCCCCAACGTGGGAATATTCCCACAACCCATGGGATCCTATTGGTCCCAAGTCCGCAGCGGATAAGGCAGGAGCCACGCAGCGGGGTATTAGGTCAGGGTCGCCTCAACGTGACCCGCGGCACCGGGTACAAATCTGCGTCCATGATGCGCGACGGCAATCGGCCTGCCGTGTCGGTGCCTGGCTTCCGAGTTCCAGGTTCCCGCCGAACGTTGACCGCGAAGCGAAGAGGCGTCCAAAAAGGTGGTGCCCCTTGCCGCGGTTCAAGGTGTACCGGAGCTTGCCGTGGGCCGGAACAGCTGGCTAGCCTATAGGCTAGACACGATTTTGTTGTCGCCACCGCTGGCATAGTCGGTGTGTCTCGTCGTTCCGGTCGTGCGAGGTTACCACGAAGGCTCCTTGGAGTCCACCCCAGCGTCGATCGACTTGACGATCGATTCTCTCTTTCTCAGTTCGCATTGTGCGCATTGTGCAGTTTGGGCGAAATTTGCCCCAGATTGTGCCGAGTGTTTTCTGGCAATACCGAAGGCCTTTTGACATTTGCCGAAGTTGCTCCCTGGATTGCAACCAATCTCCTAGCTTCCCCTCGTGATTGCGTTTGTTTTGTGTGGCAGGGGAGGGGAGATGTCCAGGCGTGAGATCCATGCCGTGACACTAAACCGCTGGCCATAGATTTCTGCGGGGAGCAGAGGCAGAGTAGCTCGGCAGGAAGGTGCGGTTAACCACGGTCAACAACGTTGTTGACATCGACTTGAGCCCCCAAAGTTGCTATCGCGGGGCGGGCAGTGGGTTGGGCTTTTTCTGAAGAGCATCTGATATCCGGACTTTAATCGGGTCATCTGCCGACAGGTCATGGTGAGACCGGTACTCAAAGGTTTCTCAAGCGCTGTGAGTCTGGGGTCCAGATGCATTTGCCGACCAGCCTCGCAGAGCGTTTGCTTCTTTCCACGTGTTGGGGAGGATGGGAAAACCCAATAGGAATCGTGTTTCTGTGGAAGAGCCCAAGGATTGAACTCCAACGACTCCACCCGGTTGTGTGCATCACAACCTGAACATGAACCTGAACCTGTGGGGTGATTGAACAGGTGCACAAATCACCGATGGACGCAATGGTGAGCGAACTTCAGGAGGCAATCGCCGTTGCCGATCAAATGCTAGACTGTGCTGAGAAAGGAAGGTCGTGTTTTCGACAACTGTGTGGGGATGTCAACGCTTTGAAGACATTGCTGATGCTGATCGCCTCTCAGATGAAGGATTCCAGGACTGAAGGGCCAACTGTACAAGCTCTGACGAACGCAGTCAAGGACACAAAAGAAACTCTGGGAGCGGCCATGAAGCTCATAGAGCAGGCCAATGACCAGACCTATCGAAATCTGCTTGTGTACAACATCCCTTTCATCAATCCTACACCCTCAGTGGCCAGTGCTCTGCAGAAGGCGAACAGAGGTGAGCCGATGTACAGTTCATGTAAAACTAAATTATCCTCGTCTTACCTGCGGCCTCCTTCCACATGTGGAGCAACTTGTAAGCTGGCTGTCATGCTGCTGCAGTGACCTCCATGGCGCGGTGCATTTTAGTGTCTGAGTTGTGGTGCTGTGAGAAGAGTATTGCACCATACCATTGTTGGTGCTCAGCATGTCGCAGAGTGTGCTTCGTATCCAGCATGCTGCCCTTGAGTTGCAGGATGCTGCTTGTCCATGTGATAAAATGCTGTGACTATGGACTGCATCTGTGTTGCACTCTTCCCCACAACATGCTTGGCTTGTGGTATATCCAGGAATGAATTGGTGAGCGAGGGAGGCATTAATGTGTGGCAGCCCCCCTGGTTGATGTGCAAATATTTTGTACTGGCTGAGGTTTACAGACTGTTGCTTACTCTGTTGCAGACCTTCTAAATGCTCACTCCAGAGCTGTCACAAACAGACAACGCGATAACACAGTGTTTTCCCCTGAGCAGCATTCACCAGGGCTCCAGGCTGGAGGCAACCAGGTACAAATTAATACTCAATGCTTTGAATTATCTGGCATTATTGTTACAGTGCTGATTTTTTAATTTATCCTCCTTTTGAACTTCAGATGAATGCAACAGTTTTGTTTTGATGTGTTATTATTATGTGACATGGTATTTCCAGTACATAGCATTCACGTTTTGGGTACTCGTTCTTATCTTAAAAAGGCCTGGGAAACTTTGCTCTGGCAGACATAAAAGAGTTTGGTGGTGTGCACCAGAACTCATGGCTGCAATATTGATGTGTGCTGAAAATGCTTGTCTGCTGCTCTGTGCATGTGCTGCATCAGGATAGCAACCTCTTTAGCACTGTGCAAGATAGAAAATTCCTCATGCCTGTGTGTCTTGTCTTGCAGGTGATAGGGACAGCATACCATCCAAGGATGATGGAGTTCCTGGAATGTCAGCTATCGGAAGCACGGAAAGTCTCTTGGCCGGAAGACACACTTGAGAACTGGACATCGGAGTGGCAGTATGCACTTGAACAAGGAGACAGGCTGCTTGAGAAGCACAAGGAATTCGATTTGAAGAAGTTCTACAAGACAAGCGATGCCAAGCAGGGCATCGAAAAGGTCTGCCGCAAGTTGAAGGCACTCCTCCTCGAGATTCATCCAGGTTCTACAGAAAAGATTGTTGATGAAGTGCCCGAAGATTTCGTCAAGGAGGATCGTGTACTCTTGTACTTGCGTCTGTCATTGGTTTTTGGCCTGCAACAGGGCAACCATCAGCATGCCATTGGTGGTGAAGCCATGCAGAATTGGGAAGCCGTCAAGAGAGAGCATGAGGAACGGCTGCAACTCCTTCGAGTCATGGACAAGAGTGAGATTCAACTGGAGACACTGATCAATGAAGGTGCTTATGGTGAACTGTACAGAGCCCGAGTGGGAGAAGAGATACGAGCTGTAAAGAAGCTGAAGACAGACAAGGATGGTCCAATCAATTTTATTCTTGAGGACTTTGCCAGCTTCTTCAAGGAAGTGTCCATCCAAGCCTCTCTGGATGCACAATACGTGGCCAGGGTTTTTGGCACCACAAGAAATGGCTGGATAGTCATGGAGATGGCTGACAACGATTTGAGGAGACTGACCCACGGAAATGGTGGCATGCCATGGCCTGCAAAATTCAGTCTTGTGCACAAGGCAGCCAAAGCCTTGAAGCACGTCCATTCCAAGCGTGTGGTTCATTGTGATGTGAAGGCAAGGAATTTCCTTGTTTTTGGTGAGGACCCCACGAGCTGTGACGTGAAGATCACCGATTTTGGCATCAGTGTTGAAGAAACAGCCACCAGGAGCAAGACTGTGAGGTGCCCAGGGGGTACTTTTCTGTGGACAGCGCCAGAGGTGTGCACTGGCGAACCTCCAACAACGATGTCAGACGTCTACAGTTTCGGCGTCACGATGTATGAAGTGGTGACAGGGGTGTCTCCTTTCCGACGTGCGCCTGCTGAAGGGAGGAACACCTTAAACACCCTCCATCTGACTGTGCTGCACAACAAGTTGGGCGAAAGAGACCCTTGTGTCGTCCTCGACCATCACTGTCCTCGAGAAATGAAGCGAATAATGCGAGAGTGCATTCAAAAAGATCAGGAACGGAGGCCCAGTATGGAAGACGTTGTCCGGCGCTTGGAGGCTTTGAGAGATTCCAAGGTAGGAATGCACTGTTGTGCAGGTTCTCCTTCCTGTCATGAAAATTGTGCACCAATTGTGCTTCCCCAATTTTTGGTTCTGCTAGTCTTAAAATCTTGCATCACACCAAGCAGCTGTGAGACTGTGATTCACCGCGCAACACACAGCTGTCTTGTATCAGGATATGTACAAGGGTGCTTTTGGCCTTACCCTTGTGTGTTCACCTGAGCTTTCTGTTCATCGTGTAATCTGGTGTCGCTGCAGGCAGCAGTCACTGTCAAGAACACCGATGACCCAAAGATAGTTACGCGGAACGTCCCCTCTGAGGTATGAAATTTCTGACTTTGACACTTGGAATTTGACAAACAATGGACACGATCGTGGTTGTGGCTGTGTGAAACACAGGTACACTGGAAAGCACATTTGTTGTTCCCTTGAGACACAAAGGGGTCACACAGATGGTTGCCCCAACAGTCAAGGATGCTGGTTTTGTGTGTGTAAGCCATTCCATAGCCACCACAATAGTCATAGTGGTGTAATAAATTGTAATGGTAGTGATTGCATGCGGGTGAAGCGAGCGGAGCTTGATAGAGCAAAAATGCACTTTTGGCCGACTGTCAGCTGCACACGCACCGCCTGCCTCTGGGCTGCGCCGGTGCATGGCGTGCAGGCGGCACGAGGCATGGCCACCTGCCGGCCACTCTCCGCCCTTCCCCGGGCTTCCTTCATCACCTCACAGCACAGGGACAGGCGGCCCTGGGATAGCACCTCAATAACGGTCATTGTGCTTGCGGGGGCCTGGCCACCTCGGGTGCATGCGTTGCAAGAAGTGTGTTGACACTGTTAGGCACGCAGCCGATACGTAACATCGCTGTGTGGTGAACGAACGCAATCCAGAACTGTACAGTCCACACTCTCCAGGTGCGGGCAGCGAGCAGACACGTGAGCACAAGGAGGGTGGGCAGTGTGGAGGGGGGAGAGCGGAGCCCTGCAGCATGGCATTAGGTCGCCAAAAGGAGTCAGCAATGGATAGCGGCTGGGCAATGTGTGGGCAGGTTGAGATTTGGGTGTTGGGGCAATGTTCTAATTCCAAAATTTGTTCGCGGCGATCGAGAGCACAGGCCAACCGCCCTAACCTGTTAGTTTGGGAGGGCTGGCCGGCCTCTCTTCAGCACCCTGGGGCAAACTGGAAGCTGGTCCCGTTCTGGGGCAGGGGTGGGGGGGTGGGGGGGGTGAGGACATGTTAAAATTGGAAACCCCTGTTTTGCAGCGATCGCCCCAACGGGTCAATCGTTGTGACCTTTCGCTTCAGACAATCCAGGCGGCCTCTGTGGCGCAATTTGAGCCACCTCCTTAGCCATGGACAGTAAGCAAACAGCGGTGCAGGGGCTGGTCCTGATTTGGGAGGCATGTTCGAATTTGATAAAACTTAAACCGAGGGCACCAAAGGGCTCAGGAGAGTCCTGCAGCAGCAGCGTTGTTGCGTGGCCAGGGAAGACAGAAGGCCACACTTTGCAATGTAGAGGCCTGTCAACTACAACAAATTTGTAAGCCTGGCATTGTGCGTGTGTTCATGTCAGTCGATCTATCAGTCTATCAACAGTGAATTTATCAGTCGGTCAATCGAGACTCCCTGACACTGGCAAATCGTCACAACGAGCGAGCATGGTTGAAGAAGCAGTGTGTATTTTATTTTTATGGATACATTAATATGTACAGTGATGTGAATCGGCTTACAAAGGTGGCTATCAAGTGTCTTTGCTGTGGCGGTGTCATGCATTCGACAGCCAGAAGGGGCGACGCTGCATGTCCAATGCACTCCACATGAAAGTTTGTTGCAGGAACTGAAAGAGCGGTGCTTGCATGTTCTTGAGCAATGGAGATTTCAACCATGGGTTTTGCAGCCATTATGTTTGAATGATTTTGGTACATGTCGTTGGCTACTTACAGGTTAATACTGCTTCGAAGGCGATTCGCATTGTCAATGCTGCACGAGATGTTATGGAAGCTGTGGAGTACAATAAAGGCACGCTGAGATTTCTGATTATGCAGCTGCAGCAATTGGCAAATGAGTTGACAGCAGAGAATATTTTGGCAGCCCAACAGAGGGGCTGGGGAGGTTCAGACCTGTTGAGATCATTGAAAGCAGCACAGCGTCTTGTCAACCGCCATGCTCAGCCGTTCAATTTGCAGGAATTCTACTCCAGCAGAGAGGCAGTGCATGTGGTCGAGCGCATCTGTGATGAGTTGCGACAATTTGTCTTCTCTGCCCATCTGCACCACAAGGTCACAATTAACGACACAGTGCCTGCAGAGTGTGCCGAGTCGGATGCCAATTTTTTGTGCATGGGGCTTGGTTTTGTAATGGGGGGTGAAGAGTTGAGCACTCACGATGTCAGTGTGAAGGTGTACTGGAAAGTTGCACTGGGCGAATTGCAACAAAAAATGCAAGGTTTGACAGTGATTCTGGAGGATGAAGTCGTTGTTGGAGAACAGATTGGACAAGGGGCATCTGGCAACGTGCATTGGGCTCAGTGGGGAGGTAAAAGAGTGGCCATCAAAAAGCTGGGCCTGGGCTATGAGTCTGTGATTTGGGAGGACCGACTACGATTCGTCTGTGAGGCTGCCATCCATGCACGTGTGCATCACCCTGCCATTTGCACCATTTACGGTGTGACCAAAACTCACAGATGGTTGGTGATGGAACCGGCGGATATGGATCTGCGAATGTGTCTGAATCGAAGAGACACCATCTTCAGTCTAAAAGTGCGCCTGCATTTGATGCAAAAGGCATCAGAGGGGCTTGCGCATTTGCACAGCATGCACGTTGTTCATCGTGACGTGAAGCCTTCCAATTTCCTCATTTTCGGGGCGGAAGACCCTGAAACCGCTTCTGTGAAACTGACTGACTTTGGCGTCGCAGTGGGCCAAAGTGAAGACTGGAGAGTCGCACAGACCATGAGGGGACAGCCAGGGACACAGGAGTACATGGCTGTGGAACTCTACGACGGCCGGAACGCCACTGCAAGAAGTGATGTTTACAGTTTTGCGATTGTGATGTGCGAGATCTTGACTGGCAGAAGACCTTATGCAAGTGCCAACAACTTCTATGGAATAGTGGCAGCCAAATTCCGTGAGGAGCTACCCTGTCCCCTTCCCAAGGATTGCCCAGATGTGTTGTTGGAGTTGATCCGGCACTGCCTCGCTATGAACCCAAAAAAAAGACCACGAATGACAGTGGTTGCTGATACGTTGAATTCTGTTGCGGCTGAACTGGGATTCTTGTAGAATGGAAGTGAAAAGGACGTTTGCCACGTCCTCTTCCCTTGGGTTGCCAAGTGAAGTCGAAGAGCGATTCGACAATGGTGCAATGACTACCTGATAACCACTTCCAAGCTGCAGTTGTCTCGCCAAGAGCCATGCAAACAGACCATCAATGGTGGTCGTCGGTAGATGTTTTACAATCGCTGTGGCTGCAGCCTTACTATGATGTGCTGGGTGTGAGAGGTCAGTGATGTTGTCATCTGCCTGGACAAGTCGTTGTGCTGTTTTGTGAATTGCTTGGCTTGATAGAGTAAGTCAATATCTTGGTTCTGAGAAGGTTAGTTGTCGTGGAGCTGTACAGCATTTTCCGACTGTTTTGAGGAGCCTCCACCAGCTTACGTGTGAGTGCTTTCCCTGTTGACCATGGCGGTTCTTGTGTCCTGTTGGTTCTGAGAAGGTTAGTTGTTGTGGAGCTGTACAGCATGTTCCGACTGTTTTGAGGAGCCTCCACCAGCTTACGTGTGAGTGCTTTCCCTGTTGACCATGGCGGTTTTTGTGTCCTGTTTCACATCACAGTGGGAGGCTCGCGGTTTTGTGCATGTGCCTGACATGGCTTAATCCTACAGAGTGACCACGAATGAATTATGAACCCGTTTCTTTGCGGCAGCGACATGACGACCAGTTTCAGGTGCCTGAGCCGGATCGCAGGGGGTGCCTCACCCAGAGCACAAGGTACCAGTTCAGACAACATCTGCTTGGGTCAGCAGTCAGAGCTAGGCTTCACAAAATTGACGATCAAGGATTGAAGGGCCGCTTAGCCACTTGCCATGCAACTACGTGGCTGTTACCAGGCTGCGGAATGATGCATGCTCTTCAGTGGAAATTGTGTGGCACAATTTGTTCCAGTCATAGTCACCTGTGTCCCATGTTTGCACTGCGTCCTGTGATTGCCTGTGTAGTTGCCTCCCTTGCTGAAGCACGGTTACAGAGGTCAAGTTCCAGGCCGCCAACCTCTGGCTGTTTCAACTCGTCTCCCTCCTTTGCATACTTCGGCATCCTCAATGTGGACGTGTGCGCCTGACACTTGCATCCTGGTGTTTCCAAAGGAGATCCCCAGGGACTCCCTGGCAGGGTATTACAGCCTTGCAGGCCGGGGGACAGGGTGAACGAGTGTGAACGGCCAACAGGAGCGTTTGCTCACAGCGCAGCCAGGCTATATCATCGCCCACACATCACTATTCGTGTCAGACTTACAGTTCCCACTGCCCACCCGCCACTCCCACGTCACAACCAGCTCGCTTTATACTTATTAATCAGATTTGGCCAGCAGCAGGCGCACACTTTGATACAAATGTGACATGTCAAAGCTATAGCCGCCCCTGAACATTTCCTATTATGAATGGCACACTCCCAGATATTCTGTACTTTTTCATCACATAAGGGGTCTCTCAAGGGACAGATCGACCGATATACTAGCCCTTGTTAAGGTTTGCTGCACAGCGGCAATCGCCAGCTCAGTGACAAGCAGGACATGGCAGCCACATGACGGAACGGACTGCGACTTGCTCTGCCACACAACCAAACGGTTGGCAGCTGCGTTGACAACATTGCGGAAGACACAAACCTTACCACAGCATGCTGACGTGCTCCCTGGTATTTGTGTGCGCTTTTGGTGAGGATTTCTGCATGCAGGTCTCTGCCGGCATACTCACTTTTGGCAACAGGCTGATCGATCGACCTGTACATCACCAATGGCTTGCTGGCTTTGCCAAAGGGTGATCGAGTGTGTGGAACCAGCAATCCACATTACAACTGTCATACCATGACAAATAACTGATCTGTCAGCAACCATGTGATGTTGGGAAAAAATGCATCAGCCATGGGTACAAAACCCGAAAGAAAGCCACAATGATGTGAAAGATAATCACGAGGAGAGGCATTTCTCAAGCTACAAGTTGTGTACACCTCAGCCAAGTTGAAAACTGTTGGCCCTGGAAAAACCCTTGAAGTTCAGACCGTTTCCCTTACCATGTCTCTGGGGCACTACGGCAGCCGCACAACCACACGGCAGGCAAAGTGGCACAGAAGTCCCAGGATCGCGTGATAAAACTATAACTTCATGTTGTGCAGCAAAATGCGCACCAAATGCTGTACAACAAGTCGTACACCAGCTCCCACAGTTAAATCAGCGCAGCATGCTGTGCTGTTTGTTTCGGCTGATACATTGGTGGGCAGCAAATATCAGCACAGAAGAAGGCAAGCCAACTCCGAAGGGGCTGCCTTGCTGGTACTAAGAGGAGAGTTCGCACTACCCATTGAGGAACAGAGCTCTCGTCACCAAACCTTCTGTAGTTAGGGCTACAGGTGCCCTGCTCTTCTGCACTGCGGCAGGCCATGCAACACATTCCCCAAGAGATTGGCGAGCACCGAATCTTCTGTTACTTGAGACTTCAGACAACTGGCGCTTCTGCCAGGCATTACACACTACACTGGTGGCTTTCTTGCTGCAAATCATTCTTTTGTTAAAGCCTCAAGTATTCGGGCAGCAGGGTAAATAGCGGCACCCAAGATCGACATTGCTGCCAGAGTTGCCACTATTGACAGAGAAGTGGTGGGTCTCCTGACCCGTTTGGCAGGTGGCAGGATTTCCTTTGGTTTCGGAATCACTACCTGCACCACAACAAATCGATCGATCTATCAGTCAGTCAATCAAACTGTCAATCAGACAAGTTAATCAACGTCAGAATTTGTGATTGATATTGGAAGCAACTTGAAAAACAAACTCTAAAACATCTCACTTTGGTAATTTGATCTCACTACAGCAGGCGCAGGCAACAACATCTACAACCAGCTTCTCTGAAACATGCCTTCAATGCACTTGCACTTGGGGTAGAGGCACAGATGTGGATGTCGCGATTTAGTATTGTCTCGAATGTGTGTGGGCAACAACTTGTTGAACATGCAACGACAGGCAATCACATGGAGTTTCGCCAAGCATCCATGTTCTGCGAGCCTGGTGGAGTGCATCATGAGCTCAGCATTGGAGAGGCATACTTGGACATCGAATTGTGGTGCTTGAGTACCGAGCTAGAACACCCTCAGTACTTGTGCGCCATGCTTAGCATATCATGTGTGTCCTGGAAGTCAGTGGCCTTGGAACAACATTTGCAGTCTACAATTTTGGACAATTGGATGTGTGCACACTGGGCAGCACAATCTCAGCATGTTGGCACCTACTGCAGCCATGTCACTCAACAAGGCTAATGTATTGACAAGCATGGCTTGACACATTAACTAGTACTTTTGCAGCATATCTGCTCAGTGTGCTATCCACTTACTGCAAGGTTGGAGCGCATGGCTCTGCTCATCATGGCTGCAACACACCAGCAAATTACATTACTATTGCATGGGCAGAATGCTGGCATGTTTTCAGTACATACATACTGTTCTATTGCAAGTTGGCTGGCAAGTGGCTCAGTACACTATCCACATACCGCATGCCTGCTGCTTTTGAAGTGGACCTTCAATGCGCTGCGCTCCTGGGGCGCTGGCCTTTTTTGGAGTTCCTCCCTGGCGTGTTGCAACTCGGCCTTTAGTCGGCTGTTCTCCTGTTGGAGTGCCTTCAGCTGTTCAGCCACGCTGGGGGAATCGGTGCTGTGTACACAAGGATCAGTTTCAGACAATTGGTCCAAAGGGTCAGTTGGACACGTTGTCAGAGCTCAATGAAAAGTGATGAGGAACAATAAGTGTGGGAACAGGCTGTCGTCCTCAGATTCTATTACATGTGGGGAAGATCTAGGGGAAGAATTAGTACAATGTGTTGTACAGCACGGTACATTGCAATGCCAAATTTTCGTATTGCAGTATTGTGCATTCTAGGACTACTCTGACATACACGGCAATCGACTGATCTTCCGACACGAGTGGGGGATTCGGTGCTGTGGATGCAGGTGTGAGACACTTGATCATTATCGCCCAGGGTTGGGTGTCAACAGAACATGGGACATTGGTACAGTGGGGGTTACCTATATAGCGCCCACCTGTGACATGGCCGAACACACAGCACTATTGGGGGCTGGGCACTAAAAAGGTAACTCAATTTGATGCATTTTGCTATAAACTATTCTGTCAAATGAGGCTTCCCATCACTTTGTATGCACTAGAAAAAATGTTGGCCAAGATACAGGCTGCTCAAATGCCAGATTGACCCATCGCACTGGCATACCTACTGCAATAATGCGACAATATTGGAGCACTGAGTTGGTGACTCACACTGCTGTAGTACGTTCAATTCCTTATGAAATTTCAAACCATAGGCAAAGGTACAAGGAAACGAACCTACCACTTCTATAACAACTTCCAACACTGTGTGTGTAACAATTCATGACACCGATATGCAAATTGATGTGCACTTGCATTGCCTGCATCATGAATTCTGAATGCGTTCTGCCATCCAGTGCCACATCATATAAGGCAGCCCAATGTAACGACATGTGCCACATCACATAAGGCAGCTTAACGTAATGACATGTTGACTGTGCGACATTGCTTATGTATAATTAATGGACTAAT